GGAGAAGGGCCTTGGTCAGGGAAGTGACCAAGAACCCGATGGTCACTCTGACAGAGCTCCAGAGTTCCTCTGTGGAGATGGGAGAACCTTCCAGAAAGACAACCATCTCTGCAGCACTCCACCAATCAGGCCTTTCCTCAGTAAAATGCACATGACAGCCAAGTTGGAGTTTGCCAAAAGGCACCTAAAAGACTCTCAGCCCATGAGAAACAAGATTATCTGGTCTGATGAAACCCAGATTGAACTCTTTGGCCTGAATGCCAAGCGTCACGTCTTGAGGAAACCAGGCATAGCTCATCACCTGGGCAATATCATCCCTATGGTGAAGCATGGTGGTGGCAGCGGTATGATGTGGGGATGTTGTTCAGTGGCAGGGACTAGGAGACTAGTCAGGATCGAGGGAAAGATGAACGGAGCAAAGTACCGAGAGATCCTTGATGAAAACCTGCTCCAGAGCGCTCAGGACCTCAGACTGGGGCGAAGGTTCACCTTCCAACAGGACAACGACCCTAAGCATACAGCCAAGACAAAGCAGGAGTGGATTCGGGACAAGTCTCTGAATGTCCTTGAGTGGCCCAGCCAGACCCCAGACTTTATCCCGATCTAACATCTCTGGAGAGACCTGAAAATAGCTGTCCAGCAATGCTCCCCATCCAACCTGACAGATGCAGGAATGACCACATGCAGGAACACCCTGAATTGCGGCTTTTTTTGTGTAGTGCGTACTGTGTAGGAGCCCATTGGAGGACTTTTGGTTTCATGTGCTTTGGCGTCATTTAGCCTATTATATGATTTATCATATAATTCCGATTTAGGAAATTACATATTTTTTACTTCTATGCACATCTCAGTAGTTGGTATTCAGACTTACCTTATGAAGGTGCGTAATGGGCTTTGCAGGCATGGTTCCCTTGCGCAAGCTGAATGAATGTAATTCAACCGCTGAAATCTCTCCCACTTGTTGGCTGACAGATTGTCTCATGGAGTTTTCATTCAATAGGGGTTTCAGTACATTTAAGCCATCCCTTTAAATGTGTTGTACCTTTAAGTTAGAATTTTGTCAACAGACTCAATAGAATATATCGAGAGAACGGGTTCACAACCTTGGGGATCAATGAAAGAAAGCCATCAAAATATATGCACATTCATCTCTGTTTCAGCACCAATTGGTAGATACTCTGATCTTATTTACTGAACAAAAATGTAAATGCAACAGGCAACAATTTCAACAATTTTACTAAGTTACAGTTCATATAAGGAAATCAGTCAATTGAAATAAATAAATTAGGCCCTAATCTATGGATTTCACATTACTGGGACATAGGCCCACCCACTGGAGAGCCAGGCCCAGCCAATCAGAATGACTTTTACCCCACAAAAGGGCTTTATTTGCATGTTTGTTCTTCCCCATTTATTTTTCAATTTTTCTAAATGTATTTTCCTTTATTACTTTCCAAACCCACAACCACTCCCCTAATTGGAGTAAACTAGTGAACAACAAGGCTTAGGCCTCTACTTCCAGCTTATACATACTATATACATTTTACTTCCTCTACCCTCAACCTCTCCGATCATTTTCATGATGTCCATGCCTCTACATGCCATATCCCCCAAACTGTGCTCTATCACAAAAGTTCTCAACCTATATACTTATTATGGACACAGTATGTTTTACATTAGTTATTTTGTTGTTATTAGTTGTTATTAGTCCCATCTATCTCTTAACACCATCCATATTGGATTTCTACTTGCCATATATTTCTCAACTGTACTGTGATGTTTCACAAAAGTTCTAAACCCCATTGTTTCTACAGATTGTAAATTGAAAATAAACATTTTTGCTAAAAGTATTATTATATTGTTGATCGATTGACTATGACTTTCAGATCACCCAGTAATGCTATCTGCAGGGTTAGCTCCAGGTATATATTGCAATCCTTCAGCCAATCCTGGACCTGTGACCAAAAACAAGCTACAAATGGACAGTACCAAAACAAATGATCTAATGATTCTGTCTCTTCGCAGCAAAATCTGCAGAGCTGGGAAGATTATATCCCCCATATAAATATGGGCTTTATTACAGACAGAAATACTCCTCAGTTTCATCAGCTGTCCAGGTGGCTGGTCTCAGATGATCCCGCAGGTGAAGAAGCCAGATGTGGAGGTCCTGGGCTGGCGTGGTTCCACATGGTCTGCAGTTGAGAGGCCGGTTGGACGTTCTGACAAATTCTCTATAACGACGCTGGAGGCAGCTAATTAACATTCAATTCTCTGGAAACAGCTCTGATGGACATTCCTGGAGTCAGCATGTCAATTGTATGCTCCCTCATACAAGAAATCTGTGGCATTGTGTTGTGTGCACATTTTAGAGTTGCTTTTTATTGTCCCCAGCACAAGGTGAACCTGTGTAATGATCATTCTGTTTAATCAGCTTCTTGATATGCCACACCTGTCAGGTGGATAAATTATCTTGGCAAAGGAGAAATGCTCACTAACAGGGATGTAATTTTTGCACAAAATTTGAGAAAATAAGCTTTTTGCGCATATGGAACATTTCTGGGATCTTCTATTTCAGCTCATGAAACATAGGATCAACACTTTACATATTGCGTTTATATATTTTTTTAGTATAGCTTAATTAAGGTTAGGAAAGTATTTATGAATCATAAAAAAACAGGTTTGGAGAGCCTTTAATAGAAAATAAAGAAAACTGTAGATTTCAGAAATTTGCCACATTCAGTTCTTCAACCCATTGTAATGTTGGAAGATTAGTGTACATATAATTATAATATGGAGAATAGTGTACAATAGTAGGCTATACCGTCCCTCGTCTAGTGCCTGCACTAACCATGGAACTGTGTGATGACACGGCCAAGTATTGCTCCATGTGTCGGGCGGGTTTAAATGGCTTGGTTTGTGCTGCATAATGATTAAATTAGCCTACGTGTCTTTTTTTATATTATCAAATGTTACTAATGATCCTCAGCAACAACCATATGGCCGTGACTGTGTTTACAGAGGAAGCAAATAAAGTTAAACAAAACAATGTAATTAAATGGAATGATAATGTAGGTTATACCAACTGAAGGGAATTAACAGTAAATTGGCAGTTTAATATGTGTGGTCATTAGACCTACTGACGGTCGATACTGATAGTTGATCATATTTAACATGAGAAAGTCAGGGTAGCCTATAATTAAGACACATTCTACATAAAGGCACAGCATTTCATAAACTTTACAGTGGGAAAGTTGATATGTTGATCTGCTTCACATTTGTCTCCAGCGATTATAAGGTAAAATACACTCAGTGGCCACTGCTTTCACGAAAATGGCTCGCTCCTACATAAAGCAGGCAGACAGACATCAAGGCATTTAGTTACTGTTCGATTGAACGTTAGAATGGGCAAAACGAGTGACCTAAGTGACGTTAAGCGTGGTATGATCGTCGGTGCCAGCCGCACCGGTTGTAGTACCTCAGAAACATCCGGCCTCTTGGGCTTTTCACTCACGACAGTGTCTAGGGTTTCCCGAGAATGGTGAAAATAAAAAAAAGTCCTGTGGGCGAAAACAACTAGTTGATGAGAGGTCAAAGGAGAATGACAAGAATCGTGCAAGCTAACAGGCAAATAACGGCACAGTACAACAGTGGTGTGCAGAACGGCATCTCGGAACGCACAATTCGTTGGTCCTTGTCAAAGATGGGCTATATTGCAGCAGACGACCACACCGGGACCCACTCCTATCAGCTAAAAACAAGAACAAGCGGCTCCAGTGGGCACACGATCACCAACACTGAACAATTGTGGAGGTGTAATGGTGTGGGGAGCGTTTTCCTGGCACACGTTAGGTCCCTTGATACCAATTGAGCAACATTTCCATGCCCCGAAGAATTCAGGCTGTTCTGGAGGCAAAGGGGGGTCCGACCCGGTATTAGATGGGTGTACCTAATAAACTAAAATAAGTGTAATTTATATGTACAATTCCCTTATCCAAATGGATTACTCATTTACCTAGCTCTTATTAATAGCTCTTATCAAGTTGTCAATGACAGTACATGGAGAATGGTGTTATTTTTATCCCCAAAAATAAAGTAGAGGCTTTTTCCACTTGGAACCAGTAGGTTCGCTAGACCTTATTCATTGTTTATCTTCGCGTAAAGGTGGTGTAATTATTTGGGAATTATCCTCTATTATTCCTCAAGCAAGGAGGAGGCCAGAGTCATCAATGATTCCCATCAGACCAACTCCTTGAAGTTAGCAGTTGTCTACAAACACTATTTAGCAACAAAAAAAAATATATATATATATATATACTTTAGTGTGTTTACTTTACTGTATTTGTACTTTCAACAGTAAAAGTAAAAAATTGTCTGGAGGACCTCTTTAAAACTGCTCCATTGTGTAAGACTGGGCTACTGAGTAATCAAGACAAATAGTGGGAATAAAATATTGTTTGGAAACAACCCCATTTTAAAATAGGGCCAACGGCCATGCATTAGCATGAAGTCTTCTGTAAACGACAAAAATACGCATGGTGTTGTTTTCTTGGGTTAAAATACATTTCTGACGCAAGGTGCTGCTGGGCTGCACCTTCTATAGTGCAGAGCTTCTGCTTCAAACTTACAAGTGAAGGGAGCGACGACAGAGGAGGAGTTGAACATGAAGCTCCGACGAAAAAGGTATTTTAGCAGTGTATGTGTGGGCAGCGCGGTGTGCAGAACGCCTGAGACAGAAACACTTCGGATAGTCAAAAACCTAAAGTTAGCGAGTAACAGAAGAGAGGAACGTGTACATTCAAACACGGAGACATTCGTTAGAGTGGTTATTCAAGTGCGTAATGGTTAGATAAGGTGATGGAAATTGGGGAAGGGTGGATTTGCGCGATATTGAGCAATTTGGAGAGCGCGCACCAACGGAAGGGTAGCTACATGTCAACGAATTGGGAGAGAACACTGGTGAAGAACTGACTATTTTGTTCCACATAGACAGTTACAGAATAATGTCGGGTATGAATAATGGCAGGATGACAAGTGGGTCCCGGGAGCCTACTATCCCGGTGATTATGTTCATATTCGGAGTGGTGGGTAACGTCATCGCCATCGTGGTTCTCCGAAAGTCTCGGAAGGAACAGAAGGAAACCACATTTTACACCCTGGTGTGCGGGCTTGCAGTGACCGACCTTTTGGGAACGCTACTGGCCAGCCCCGTCACCATCGCCACCTATGTGCAAGGGAAGTGGCCGGGTGGAGAGTCACTGTGTCAGTACTCCGGCTTCATCCTTCTCTTCTTCTTTCTAGTCGGCCTCAGCATTATCTGTGCTATGTCCATAGAGAGATACCTGGCTATAAACCATGCATATTTCTACAACCATTACGTGGACCAAAGACTTGCAGCGTTGACGCTTGCGGGCATTTACATTTTTAACGTGATGTTCTGCGCACTGCCTGCCATGGGGCTGGGGAAAGTGAATAATCAGTTCCCAGGGACGTGGTGCTTCATCGACTGGCGGACTAACGACTCCACGCACGCCGCCTTCTCCTACATGTACGCCGGGGTGAGCTCCTTTCTTATCCTGGCCACGGTGATATGCAACGTGCTGGTATGCGGGGCGCTGATTATGATGCACAAGCGGTTCATCCGCAGGACATCGCTGGGTACGGACCAGGGAGGACGCATAGCGGACCTGAGGCGCAGACGGAGCTTCCAACGCTTGGCCGGCGCAGAGATCCAGATGGTGATTCTGCTCATCGCTACCTCCGTGGTGGTTCTCATCTGCTCCATACCTTTGGTAGTAAGTTGACGCCTTGCAAAATAAGTATTGCAATATTTTGACTGATTTTTTAAGGTTGCGCAACATGTTGGTCTCTCTTTTGTGTCTCTCGTTGTGTGTGCGCAGGAATGGATAACGTTCTGGTTGGTGTGGTGTCATTGTTTGTAACACCTTTACGCATCAGCATACGAATTAATAATTGGAGGGAAAGCCCAAAATGTGCATTAAATAAAATGGTTTAATATTTAGTAAATTAGCTCCTAATCCAATGAAGGATATTAATAGGCATAATTATAATTAATGAGGTGTTGTTACTATGTTAACTCTAATGTCAACTTCTGGTGCTCTTGCCATTAGAAACATTTCCTTACTTTGAGAAAAACAAGAACCAATAAATAGTATTGGTCTGTTGATCATTTTTGCTTTTATCTTTAGATGCCAAATTCACCAATAACATAAGGACTAACTATAGCAAAACCTTAAAGAAAAGCCCTTGTATTAATAATATCTTAGACTAATATCTAATTTTAGAGCATGAATAACAGGTATTTGTGATTTAGCACACTGATAAGGAAGACAGGCTAATGCTTTTTGTGTGTGTGTGTGTGTGTGTGTTTGTGTGTGTGTACCTTGAGAAATGCAACTATCCAGATGTCAATGGTGGCAATATCAACTGGACATTAGAGCAACAACTAGTTATGTTCATTGTTGCGGGTTTTGGTTTTTCCGTTTATATTTCGAGGTGGCGCTTTGGCGCGTGGGGCACATCGATTGGTGTCGCCTCATTGGTGGGTATGTGCTGCACCTGTGCAGGCTTGTCCATCTCGTTGGTCAGTAGGTGTTTCGCCTGTGCTGGCCCAGGTGATGTTTGGGAGTGGCTGGCCCAGTGCTCCAGTTGGTCTTACATTTACATTTTAGTAATTTTGCAGACACTCTTTTCCAGAGCGACTTACAGTTAGTAAATGCATATATAGTGAGTGCATACTGGCCCCCGTGGGAAACGAACCCACAGCCCTGGCGTTGCAAGCGCCATGCTCTACCCACTGAGCTACAGGGGACTTGAGAGTCACCTTTTGTTGACTCTCCCTATTTAAGTTCTTAAACAAAGCCTATTATCTGGTATTTCCCTGTTTTGTTTTGATCTGCTTTCTTTTTACTCCCTATCTTAAGTTGGTGCAGGGTTTTCTTTTTGTTTTCCATTCACTAGCCAAATTTAGTGGGCATCCATTGTGGGAATCTTTTAGGGCACATTTTCCTAGTTGCTTGTCAACTTTCAGTGGAGACCACCATGGATGTCCTTCAGAACCCCTTTTGAACCCCTTTCTGTTTTGGTTGTCAGTGATTTTCCTTGTTAGTTCCCTTTGTTGTGAGCGACATTTTGAGTTTGTGTTGTGGGAACGTAATACCATCCACTTGTGCTGATGGGATCGGTCTGTCTGAGTACTGCTCGGCCAGTGTCAACCATTTCCACCAAACTCTGTCCTCTGTACATACTGTAAAACCAAATGTTTAGGATCTGATTGTTTAGGATCAATGTACACGAGGAAACATAGATATTAAAACAAATTATTCAAAAAATCAACCTGCAACAAAGCATGCTGGGAAATATGATAATGGGCCCCGCCCACGTCTTTTTCACCCAGAAGGTTAACAAAAATGAAGTCAACACAGTTGAGTAACAACAACACCATGTGATTGAAAATATTTCTTGAATCAAGTGCTGTTAAGTGCTGAAATGTAGGTAAGGTGACAGACATTCCTTACACTGATCTGAATAAAAGGCAAGGAAAGTCACATTAATTTGTAATGACTAATGCACTCTAAACAGGATGATGGGAAAGTAAACACTAGTGTTTAAAAATGGAACACTTAGGAGATAAACAGTAGGTGTTTTCCTGATTGGAAACTGACTGTAAAAAGCTGACTATCATGTTTAATCTTGCATTCTAAACGCCTGTGTTCAAGATGAGAACACTTATTGGCAAATCTAAACGCCTAATGTTTACGTTTTAAACACTGACATTTACGTTATAAACGTGTCACGTTTTATGGTTTTACAGTGCAGAGAGTACTATAAGCCATCCTGTCCCCATTCACTGCATTAGAGTTACAAGAGGGTACTGTAAGGACAGAGTCACTAGAGACAGTACATTACATCCTGCACGCTTCAAAAACACTCCACAAAGAAAATGAGAAAACTAACTGCAGGGCACTGAGGGCAAAAGTTCTGAAGAGGACCAATGATATATTGTGTTCTATAAACCATCCCCATGAAGCATTTGAAAGTTACATGTAAGGACAGATCCACTAGAGACAGTACATTACATCCTGCAAGCTTAAAAAACCCTCCCCTTGAAAAAAAACCCTGAAAAGATGAACTGAGGGCGTAAGGTCTGAAGAAGACCCATTGGTCTATAATTACATATTATTGTGTTCTATATGCTGTCCCCATGCTCTGATTGAGAGCTAAGGACAGAGCCACTAGACAGTACATCCTGTAAGCTTCAAAAACTCCACCAACCAAAAATGAAAAGACTAGCTGAAAGAGACCCTGTAAGGGCGGCAGGTAGCCTAGCGGTTAAGAGTGTTGGACCAGTAACCGAAAGGTCGCTGGTTTGAATCCCTGAGCCAGCAAGGTGGAAAAATCTGCTGTTCTGCCCTTGAGCAAAGCAGTTAACCCCGAATAACAACTGCTCCCTGGGCGCCGACGACGTGGAAATCGATTAAGGCAGCCCCTCGCACCTCTCTGATTCAGAGGGATTGGGTTAAACGCGGAAGACACATTTCGATTGAATGCATTTAGTTGTGCAACTGACTAGGTATCCCCCTTTCCCTGTAGTTCAATAATCAGTGTCTCTGTGTTTTCCCTCCTTCTGTATTTTCCAATAACAACCTTATCATATAGGCTAGTCACTAACCTTGTGCCTGACAGTTACTTTCCTTCACTTGTTTTGACATTGTGAGTCAGAGCCCAGGGGAGAGCCAATGGCCAGAGACGTTCATATGATTGATGATTAACATGGGGAGTGGGGTTGTGTTTTCATTTGCTCTTTGCCCAGGCTTCTGTGCCGCTGTCTGCTAGGCTGATACTATTGCTCCTAGTACGCTCTACTGCCCATGCTATACCCTTATGCCAACATTACAACAGCATGGTCAAATAGGTTAGAAGTTTTGCTTTCATAGCAACCATGATAGTTTGTTCTGTATGTATGTATATTTTTTCTTGCACTACAATAACATGAGAAATTATTAGCTAGGTTTAGGTTAATGTTATTCATGTTTGAACGCTACATCAATTGGATTTAATTAGAATAGTTCAACAGGATTCAATAGGAATTCAATCATTTTGTACATTTTAGTCATTTAGCAGATGGTCTTATCCATATCCTATTGAACACACCTATTGAAGCTTCCAATGTACATCCTCCTCATAAATACACAGAATAACCAATAACCCTTAAACCCTGTCCATCTCCCTTCCTTCCTCCCTCAGCTGCGGATTTTTGTAAACCAGCTGTCCAGGTTTGAATTTGACGCCCGTTCAACTCCCATAGAGAAGAACCCAGATCTCCACGCCATCCGCATTGCCTCCATCAACCCCATCCTCGACCCCTGGATCTACATCCTGCTGAGGAAGACCGTTCTACTGAAGCTGGTGGAGAAGATCAAGTGTCTGTTCTGCAGCTTGGGCAGCCGGGGGCGGGGCTCAGGGGCATGGGGTCAATTCTGCTGCGGAGGTGAAGGTCACCTGAATTCGTCCATCGTGTCCCAGGACTCCCCATCGCTAGTGTCCTGCGAGTTGAGGGACGTCATCAGCACCTCGCAGACATTTCTTTACCTTCCGGAGGGGACTAGAGGGGGGCAGGGGGGGTTTAGAGGGACAGGGGGCGAGGGAAGACCTAGCCTCCCTGCTGTGGAGCGCTCCCTGCTCCAGGACCAACAGACACCAGCGGGTATGGGAATGCAAAAGGATCCCAAAAAGGGCACTTTAGGACCCAGGATATCAATGAGATCAGAGGGGACAGTTGACCCTTCACGTCTGAACAGGGTGCCAACGGACCGAAAGGACAAGACTCTACATGTGACATTTACAGACGAGACACTGAACTTACAGGAGAAATGCATCTGACGGACACAAACACAAACTCAGCCAGAGTGGCTGATAACACAGAAAAGTCACAGAGGTGAGGGGAATTTAGGACTTCTAATAGCTTAAAAGGTTGGGACTTCTGAAGGGTTGAACTGAAATACACATTGATAAACTGAACTCAAAGGTGAAGGAATTCTGGGAGCTGTGCAAACACACGGTTGATTTTACTGACAGCTGACACAATAAGGGGACAAATAGTAGTCGTTCTATAGTGATTGTGTTATTCTTAGAACTTTGAGTTCATCGGTGATGCTCCAATATGGAATGTCAGCCTAGCAGAAACATGATGTCCTGTTTAGGGTTTGGACAAATTGGAAACACGGTGTCAAAGTGGATTGTAGGAGATTGGATCTATTTACATGGATGGATCTATTGTATATGCCACAGTCTTATTACAAGAATACCAATATAATATGCACACACATCAGTAATGAACATAAAATGTCATATGAACTTTAATAAACACTATAAGGAGATTTCATTGCACTTTTCAAGAACTCAAAACCACTGAAAGGCTGTCAGAATGCAATCAGTATAGAATGTTGCTTACACTGGCCTCCACCTATACAAACGTTGTGATATACTGTAAATAGTCATGAGGCTACATTGTGAACTGTGTCCCATAACATTAATGAAGTTTTTTATGAAAAAATAAATGTTTCTTCTCTGTGAGAAGGTCCAGTTAGTTTGTATCCATTTAAAATTGTTACAAGATGGATTGAAACGGTACGCTACATTTCAACATTTGCATCATATTGGTTCACTTGGCAGCTCCACAACAATGCCTGAAGTATAAAAATCAAGCAAGAATATTGAGCATATAAACCCGTGCATTCCACTCTGTTACGTGTACTGAGCTTGTATGGTTGAAATAACAAAGATTATTTAAATTGCTGTCTTTTGTTTTGTTCAAATGACACATCTGCTTCATACAGTTGAAGTCGGAAGTTTACATACAACTTAGCCGAATACATTTAAACTCAGTTTTTCACAATTCCTGACATTTAATCCTAGTAAAAATTACCTGTCTTAGGTCAGTTAGGATCACCACTTTATTTTAAGAATGTGAAATCTCAAAATAATAGTAGAGAGAATGATTTATTTCAGCTTTTATTTCTTTCATTACATCGTGGGTCAGAAGTTTACATACACTCAATTAGTATTTGGTAACATTGCCTTTAAATCGTTTAACTTGGGTCAAACGTTTCGGGTAGCCTTCCACAAGCTTCCCACAATAAGTTGGGTGAATTTTGGCCCATTTCTCCTGACAGAGCTGGTGTAACTGAGTCAGGTTTGTAGGACTCCTTGCTCGCACACACTTTTTCAGTTCTGCCCACAAACTTTCTATAGGATTGAGGTCATGGCTTTGTGATGGCCACTCCAATAGCTTGACTTTGTTGTCCTTAAGCCATTTTGCCACAACTTTGGAAGTATGCTTGGGGTCATTGTTCATTTGGAAGACCCATTTGCGACCAAGCTTTAACTTCCTGACTGATGTCTTGAGCTGTTGCTTCAATATATCCACATAACTTTCCTTCCTCATGATGCCATCTATTTTGTGAAGTGCACCAGTCCCTCCTGCAGCAAAGCACCCTCACAGCATGATGCTGCCACCCCCGTGCATCATGGTTGGGATGGTGTTCTTCGGCTTGCAAGCAACCCCCTTTTTCCTCCAAACATAACGATGGTCATTATGGACAAACAGTTCTATTTTTGTTTCATCAGACCAGTGGACATTTCTCCAAAAAGAACGATCTTTGTCCCCATGTGCAGTTGCAAAACGTCGTCTGGCTTTTTTATGGCAGTTTTGGAGCAGTGGCTTCTTCCTTGCTGAGCGGCCTTTCAGGTTATGTCGATATAGGACTCGTTTTACTGTGGATATAGATACTTTGTACCTGTTTCCTCCAGCATCTTCACAAGGTCCTTTGCTGTTGTTCTGGGATTGATTTGCACTTTTCGCACCAAAGTACGTTCATCTCTAGGAGACAGAATGTGTCTCCTTCCTGAGCAGTATGACAGCTGCGTGGTCCCATGGTGTTTATATTTGCGTACTATTGTTTGTACAGATGAACGTGGTACCTTCAGGCGTTTGAAAATTGCTCCCAAGGATGAACCAGACTTGTGGAGGTCTACCATTTTTATTTCTGAGGTCCCATGATGTCAAGCAAAGAGGCACTGAGTTTGAAGGTAGGTCTTGAATTACATCCACAGGTACACCTCCAATTGACTCAAATTATGTCAATGAGCCTATCAGAAGCTTCTAAAGCCATTAAATCATTTTCTGGAATTTTCCAAGCTGTTTAAAGGCACAGTCAACTTAGTGAATGTAAACTTCTGACCCACTGAATTGTGATACAGTGAATTATAAGTGAAATAATCTGACTTGCCAAAACTATAGTTTGTTAAAAATAAATTTGTGGAGTGATTGAAAAACGAGTTTTAATGACTCCAACCTAAGTGTATGTAAACTTCCGACTTCAACTGTATGTGTGCATGTCCATTTCTTTCCCCCCCAATTAAATGATATCAGTGAACTGCAAAACTGGATGATTTGTTTTCAATGTTTCTGAAGAAAGTACTCACCGGGCACCAGGGTCGTAGTTACGGGTGGGCTTTGGCGGGCCCAGGTCCACCCACTCGGGAGCCAGGCCCACCCAATCAGATGTAATGCTCTACTTGTCAGTGTTCCAAATGGGACATTGTTTGTCTTTTTAATTAAACACAGTACTTGACTTAGGCAGAAGCTCACCGGAACTTAGTACCCACACCTCAATATTTATTCTGCTTGAGTTACTGTACCTTCTATAGAATATTAGCTCAAAACTATTGAGGCGTTCCTGCACCTAAATATAAACGTACCGGCACCTATTTCAGTCCAAGTCAAGCACTGGCCTAAACATGCACACATTATCAGATATAAATCATAGCAAGCAGTAGAGAGGGGGTGGGAAAGGGATATACACTGAGTGTACAAAACATTATGCTCTTTCCATGACATAAATAAAAAAATTATAGACTGACATAGACTGACCAGGTGAATCCAGGTGAAAACTACAGTATATTTTTAGTAGCCTCCCACTGGGCACAAACTGGTTGAATCAACGTTGTTTCAATATAATTTGTCAACGTATTGTGATGTGGAATCTATGTGGAATATACATTGGATTTGAAAAAATTAATCAACTGTTGTTTTGAGGGTGAAATTTCAACCACAGAACTATGTCATCATGGTAACCACTTTTCATCATAGCCAAACCTTGTATAAAATATGTTGAATTTGTACCTTTGAAACAACGTCAGATCGTCAACATTATATCCACTAACATTAAAAAAAGGCTGAATCTATAAACAGCTATCCATTTGGTCTCCCATCCAGGGTTTTAACCAAGCCCAGCCTTGCTTAGCTTTGATATTTGTCACTGACTACTACCAATGTGCTATCGTGAGAATGGTTATTGAGAGACCTCTTAATACCTAAATACCTAAATATCAAAGTCATTCCAAAGGGTAGGTTTAACAGAGCAAATGAAATCTAACCACACTTTATAAGTCATATATCATCAATATTTAGGCCTATATAGCATCTGAAAAGTCATCAACAACTATTGTTTCAATTCAACCCAGGGTTCAACTAAAAATAGACGAGACATACTGTTTAGGCCTAGGGTTTCAAACTTTGGTTGATTTCAAATGTAATCTTCAAGTTGTTAATTACCATAATGGATTCACGTCCATCTTAACCAAAAATCTAAGTTAAAGAACAGAACTACACTGAACAAAAATATAAATGCAACATGCAACAATTTCTAAGATTTTACTGAGTTACAGTTCATATAAGGAAATCAGTCAATTTAAATAAATGCATTAGTCCCTAATCCATGGATTTCACATGACTGGGAATACAGATATGCATCTGTTGGTCACATATACCTTTAAAAAAAAGTAGGGGCGTGGATCACAAAACCAGTCAGTATCTGGTGTGACCACCATTTGCCACATGCAGCGTGACACATCTCCTTTGCATAGAATTCATCAGGCTGATTGGATTGTGGCCTGTGGAATATTGTCCCACTCCTCTTCAATGGCTGTGCGAAGTTGCTGGATATTGTCGGGAACTGGAACACACTGTTATACACGTTGATCCAGAGCATCCCAAACAAGCTCAATGGGTGACATGTCTGGTGAGTATGCAGGCCATGGAAGAACTGGGACATTTTCAGTTTCCAGGAATTGTGTACAGATCCTTGTGACATGGGGCCGTGCATTATCATGCTGAAACATGAGGTGATGGCGGCGGATGAATTGCACGACAATGTGCCTCAGGATCTCGTCAAGGTATCTCTGTGCATTCAAATTGCCATCGATAAAATGATATTGTGTTCATTGTCCATAGCTTGAGCCTGCCCATACCATAACCCCACCGCCACCATGGATCACTCTGTTCACAACGTTGACGTCAGCAAACCGCTCACCCACACAACGCCAAGTCTGCCATCTGCAGTTGAAACCGGGATTCATCAATGAAGAGCACAGTTCTCCAGCATACCAGTGGCCATCGAAGCTGAGCATTTGCCCACTGAAGTCGGTTACGATACCGAACTGCAGTCAGGTGAAGACCCTGGTGAGGACGATGAGCATGCAGATGAGCTTTTCTGAGACGGTTTCTGACAGTTTGTGCAGAAATTATTTGATTGTGCAAACCGACAGTTTCATCAGCTGTCCTGGTGACTGGTCTCAGACAATCCCGCAGGTGAAGAAGCCGGATGTGAAGGTCCTGGGCTGGCGTGGTTACACGTGGTCTGCGGTTGTGAGGCCAGTTTGACGTACTGCCAAATTCTCTAAAATGATGTCGGAGGCAGCTTATGGTAGAAAAATTAACATTACATTTGCTGGCAACAGCTCTGGTTGACATTTCTGCAGTCAGTATGTCAATTGCACACTCCCTCAAAACTTGAGACATCTGTGGCATTGTGTTGTGT